CAGTTTACCAACCACAGGATTTTCCTATAGACCTAAACATTCAGCCTAAATCTGAATATGGACTACTTTCTAAGATATTTGTTTTCCAGAGATCCTGTCAAGTGATTTAACATCTACACACTATACGTCTACACTGGCCCCTTTTCCGGAAGGGGCATGTTAATTTCAGAGATCGCAATAGGGAAATGCGCGGAGGATTTAAATATCCCCCGCGGCATTTAAATAAAAATGTCCGCCGCTTTTTTCCGGCTTTTAGAAAAGCCGGAAAAGAAAAAAGCCCTTTTCTGGAGGATCTTATTCCTACTTTGAAGTAGGAATAAGATCCTCTGGAAAAGGGCGCTTTTTCCGGAGGATCGGGGCCAGTGTAGACGCTCTTTTCCAGCTTTTCTAAAAGCCGGAAAAAAGCGGCGGACATTTTTATTTAAATGCCGCGGGGGATATTTAAATCCTCCGCGCATTTCCCTATTGCGATTTCAAAAATTACCATGCCCCTTCCGGAAAAGGGGCCAATGTAGACGAGCCCTATGAGAATTGATTACCACTCTATAATGACTTGATTATTATTATTTGATGCTTTCTTTTCTTTCCTAATCTCCTTTGTTCTGTTTCACTGAGTTTCCAAGGCTACTTTCAGACTTCTCACATGAAGTCTTAAAGCTGGAGGTCTAAGAATATCGTGGAAACAGAAAGAAACAGAGAACAAAAAAAATCCCAATTTAAACAACAATCTTGACTCCAAGATCAAACTACAGAACTTCTTTCCTAGTTCTAAACATAATACTAGCATGGAGGCTCAGTCCAGAAAAAGTATTTTTATGTAGTGTTGAGGATTTTAGGACTAAGTTACAAAAAATCTAATCCGACTACACAGCAACTTCAATAGGCACCAGTTATTTATACAGAGGTTCAAAAATAGTTTTTGTCTTGAGCAAAGGAATAGGATTATTACCAGCTCTGACTTTTTCTCAGCATGCTGCGTGTTTTCTCTGACTGCACAAAAGCACTAAGATGCTATAGTCCTACACTTAGGAGAATTTTTTATTTGAGAGTCCTATGTATTGAAAGACATCCACAATTTTTTGGAGAAAGGGATTCTCTGAAAACCATCCAAACAGAATTCATCTCACAGGTTGTTAAAGGGTAAAAAGTTATCTTCCTTCCACTCAAATTCCATGTATAACAGGCAAAAAAAGTGTGGCATATGTTTACACCTACACAGGCCCTCTAAGATGTATATGGAAAGAGCTTGATGCCTTCAGTGTCTTATAACCTTTAATATTGCTGTTATCAATCTCTATATAAAGCCAGCTATCAAAGGGTATGTCTACACTACCACCCTAGTTCGAACTAGGGTGGGAATGTAGGCAACCGGAGTTGCAAATGAAGCC